GTGCAAAGGATAGACTTACTTCAACGAGCCAAGCCACGGCCTCTTCTTTTGAAAGCTGTAAATCTGACGCCATTTGAAATTCAAATTTATTTGTCTTCACATCTACTTGTGTTTGCTGTTGTTTTAATCTGGAGGAGCCGTGAAGCATTTTCGTGCATCGCGAAATTTATACCCCCTCACTAGTCAAGTTAGCTTTTTGCATAAGGTTGACCGCTACACTGACTAAGCCCGCGACCTCCGGACCACATGGTCAGGTACCCAGATAGTTTGGATAGCGGCAGGCCATGTGGAACTTCATAAATGCTAGATCACCAAATTTTGGGCTCCAGGGGTTACAGAGGCAAAGGGATGCAATAAAGCTTAGGACCTCTATCCTAGGTAATAAAAGGCCTTAGGTAAACTTAGGTAAACTTACTGTAATTTAGTATAATTTAGTAAAGATATAGAGGATCTAAGACTAAGTATTTTTAATACATTAGTTTAATATAGATGTTTTCCTATACCCTGAGGAGAGGTGAGACTTGACTACGGCTATGAACATACATCTCCCGGATATAAGGCTGCAGTATCTAGTAGCGATTTGTAAAACCTTGTATTTAGGAACTTGATAAACTATCTCGTGTCTAAATAATTTCAATCTTTAAGCTACCTGATGTCTTGTTACAGAGTCTTACACTAATCATGTCAAACCCAATGCACCCTATCTCTGCAATGCATTCCGTATTGGGGATCCAAGAAACCCGGCATACTGGCAACAGGCTTAAACATAGACAACCTTGGTAACGGTGGGAGTAGGCGCCGCAACAGTGACAACAGAGGCACTGGCACACGAGCAAGCCGTAAGGTAGCGAGGCTCTCCAGAGCAAGCACTAGCATAGGTAGGAATAGACTTGGTAACATAAACAGTGCTTGATATCATCAGTCAAAGACCCCAATGAGGATTGAGTACTGGTGGCTTACCTTGCATCAGGAGTAGTAGTGATCTGGAGATAAGCTTCACACTCAGCCTTGTAAGAAGCAACGACTGCAGGGCCACGGAAGCCGGGGACAACGGCCCGGGCACAGTTATCGCCACAGCCGGAGCGCTCCTGGAGTTCCTTGGGAATGTTGATGGCCAGGACAGGGGCAATGAGAGCGGCGATGAGACTGAACTTCATGGTGAGGGTATTGTGGTGTTTTTGGCAGGTGATGAGACAGTTCAAAAGCTTGTTTGAGTGGTTGGTAGCAGATTTAAGTGAAGAATTTACTAAGCTTGCTGAGAAGATGGGATACGTGTGTGGTCTTTATATATACAAGTTGTTCACCTCAGGTCTATGCTGACTCCACGCCGAACATACCCTTCCCCTGACAGCGCTTTTCACACCGATAAGAAGTCCCAACGGTTTTAATAAAAAGAACGCCTAGCACCATGAGTTTATCGCCATCATTTATCGATTTCCCACGTTTTTTACAACTAGCGCACCGTTGGCAGCTCCTAGTCAGATATCCTAAACGCCACAGGACCAACCGTCAAAGGGGCATGAGCTGATAACGAGGCGATCTAGATCACACTAACCACAAAATGAGGTCCATTAGAGGGAAGGTCAAACGGCTTTGCTCAATGTTTGTCGGGCCTCGTGATAGTTTCGGGAATAGAAGTGGAAAGCAAGGGGGGACTATTTAAAGTCTTGGTCCACGAGTTCCGGATTGGGAATTCAGCTGAATTAAGGGTCTCGTCAGAGAGGCTGATACACTGAACGGGTAAGGCTTCACAGGGGTTAGGCACAATAGGATAGGGTCGAGTCATTGTCAGGGATGCTTGATAAGATGTTGCTTGTACGGCGGAGATTTGCAAGTAACAGGTGGCATGGAGCCTGCAACCAACAGACAGACTGGCGTCACAGAGTTGTTGTGCGACAGGACATCGATTATAGACCAAAATATTAACCAGTCAGGAGTAAATACTTCTTAAGCATACATAAACAATATCTAGAGAACACAGATAATTATGCATCACTTCAGCGAAGCATGCGAGACTCAAATTTGTTACAGCCAGAGTAAGCTTGAACTATCAGCAAGACTTGATTCTGACCATAAATACAATCTGTCGGTTTAGACCACTCGGTCCGCCCAAGGAAAAGGAACGATACCTATCCTCCTTTCAACCGTCCATGCCATCGCGAATGCGCAAGAAGTTGGCGTACCGCTCCAAAGTCCAGCGACGCGACGCCTTGCCCCAAATGGCCATGGGCAGCGACGACATGATAATGACGAAGCTAAGAATACCAAGCTCGATGAAGGTGTTCTGTAGACCGGTGTCAATCCAGTAGCTGCACACGAATGTGAAGAGGGTGGCGAGGGTGTTGTTGATGACGGCGACACCAACCATGCCCTCAAGAACCATGTCGGGGTAGCTGTCAGCTAGGTACGTGATGCTCAGATCACCTGCACAACCGTAGCCAAAGCCGATAAAGCCCAGCGCGACGTAGGGAACAGGCCAGTCCCAACCATGCGCTGAGCCGATACCGAATAGCCACATACCCAATGGGAAGATGATCACGCAGAGGGCCATGAGGTGGAGACGGAACTCGGCCTCCATGATGCCGTTGTTACGTTTAGCCTTCCAGAGGATAAACTTGTCGCTGCAGTACCCGCCGTAGAAACAGCCAATGACACTTCCAATCAGACAAGGAATGTTCATGTTGGCGACAGCAGAGTCGCTATAGTTGTACGGCTCGCTCACCCAGTAATCCTCCTCGACGGTGAGGTAGAAGGACAATGCAATGTTCTGCATTCCCCACTGAAGACCAGCGAACCAAACTGCGGGAAAGGAAAAGATGCGCATCGTGTGCCACAGGCGGTGGACATACTGCGTTAATCCCAAACCGCGCAGGTTAGACGCTGGAGTGATGAGAGCAATGCGCTGCCAGTAAGACTTCTTGCGCGCGAACGAGGCCTCGAGTCTATTGCGCTCGACCTCCTCTCGTCGCACTGCAGATGCGGTTTGAGAGATCGCAGCTTCTTCGTCAACTGGAGGCGAAAGGTTCTTCTCCTCGGCATCCTTGGTGACGACATGGTCGCCAGTAGCCGCGGGAATACCCTCAACATTGCCGCGGCTGGCGTCGCGCTCCTCAGTCTGGTGGAGATTGAGGTAGCGATTGCGCTCAAAAGCTGTCTCCTCAAGACCGAAATAAAAGAGGACGAGAGTGAAGCCAGAGGCAATTGCGCCCATGTAGCCAATCCAGCGCCACCCGACATTCTCTGCCAAATGGCCTCCGATCAAAGGGCCAACATAGGTTCCGACCGTAGTAGCAAGGGTATACATACCCAGCGAAGTACCATTCTGGTGCTCGAACCAAATGTCCAGCAGAGACAATTGAACAACAGCCTCGGCGACAGACTCTGAAGCCCCGACAAAAAGCTGGGACCAAATCGTGTCGCCGGTTGTCTTCAAACGGCCGAACCAAATGTTGCCAATAAGACCCCATACCGTGCCTACCAAGTATAGAATTCGTCGTCCGTAAAGATGCGTCGCAGGGGAGCTGAGAAGCGTCCAGTATCCGATCGCGACAAAGAGTACACCAGCGCCAGTATTGAAAACATCGTAACTAATCCCGTATTGTTCATTGACACCTGTGCTCGCAGCACCAGCGACATTGGATGTGGCGGCGGTCAATGCGACAATGTAACACACGAGAAACGAATGCCAGGTCTTGCGCGCAAGACTCCAGTTCAATGGATCATTGGGAGACTTCGTCGGAGGGGGGACGAGGATGACATCGCCGTGCTTTTCGATACTGGCATCGCCTGAAGCAACGCTGGCGTGCTCGTCGGCGAAGAGACGTCGTGTGCCCGGAAGGACTTCATCGAGATCGCGAGCAGACGGAACGGCCATCCGCGTTGATTTGCAGTGGTACTTGGTAGTGGGGTCTTGTTAAGTCGTCTTGGGGCAAACGGCTCCTCGGAGCCGCATTCACACGCGTTAAGGAGGATAGGTATGGGTATGCAGGATATCGATCGAGAGTCAGCAAGACATTGTCTGTGTGCGATAGTGATTTCCTAGCAAGTTAGAGCCGAGCAGCGATCGCAGAGAGAAGAGGAGGGAGGAAATTTTTTATATTATGCCCAAGGATCCATATCTTTCGGAGCAGTCCCCCACCAGAAGGTTCATTCCCATGTCGGGCCGCAATGGGGAGACCGGAGCGATTCCACAAAGGGCAGTGCGTCTGACAATTTGTGGTACGTTTGGCTGGGTTGAATTGGAAAGGTTTAAGCTGTTGATGTCATGGTGTGGAAGACGGCACACCACTTCCGTGATGGAGAGATAAGGTCGCGTGCGTGTTTTGCGCTTGTATTGGACGGATGATCCCTGGGGTAAGTTGCCATCTTTGTGGTCGACGGTCTTCCCCGACGAGACGAGGTTCGGCGATCATTGTCAGTTTGAAGAGTAGTAGTCTGAGTAATTGAAGCCGTGCGACGCACGCGACAACACTTTCAGACAATTCGAAGCTGAAGTCGTTGGACCTGTCTGTTTGCGAAAAATGTCCACTCTAGGAGCCAGTGACAAAAAGGCTTGGCCGACTGATTAGTCACCAGCCGACTTCCGACTGAAGCTACTACGGAGAACAGCTCTCAACGGGAACAACCAAATGAGAGTTACCATTAGGCCAACTCCATTGAACCTTGACTTGGACTTGCGAAGGTCACCAGCTCGATTCAGTACCGCGATCGTGATGCGACCACATGCTTCCCCTTTTCTTGGCCATGAAGAAAAAAACCGCATGGCCCATGCCTTCTAGAAGTCAGGTCAAGGGCAAGGATTACTGGAGCCCAACAGCTCACCAAGTCAGCAACAGGATTCAAGGTTTCTGTCAAAATTTTCATTCATGAAACAAAGTGCGTTGCGGAAAAGTCGTGTCAAGCAATTCTACGTCGCTCTCATAAGTAAGATACTTGCTATACATCATTGCTGTGGTATCAAAAATGTCCTGTTTTCCCATGATCCCATCTCAGCGCCAGACCTAAACCATCAAAAAGTCCACGTTCAAATCCTTCAGCTTCTGCAACCAGTTCATACATCCATCCTCGCCATTCTCATGCTTCCACAAAATCTGCAACGTATCAATCGCAGAGTATAGGAATCCCCACGGGTTGATTTGCGCTACCGCCTTCAGTCGATCCATAACCCACGTCCGGCTCTCCGGAGTCGTTGCCGTTGTCCCATAAATAAAGGTGGGCCAGCCCGTGGCTTTGAAGTTTGGGTCTTCGTCAGGCTGTGGTAGGAGCGTCTCGTAAAGATCCTGGATGAGTGTTTTGGGAACTTGGTCTGGCATCCTGGCTCGCAGTGCGGGAGCTGCCTGGATGATGTAGAGACATGTTGCCAATCTGTGCGCGGAGCCAGTTCGGGCACTACTCCATAGGGCAGCTTTGCTTGCATCTGGCATTCTTTCCTTTGCCCATTTGAGGACATCGAGACGTTGTACGCGGTCTAGTAGATTGGTGAATTCGATAAGCGCTTCATTGCTGGAGACGTTCCCTTGGGCTTCAGCATGTAAGAGTTGTGCCGTCTCACGGAGGATGTCGAGAACTTCAGGTGGGCAACAGAAGAAAGAGTTGTTGGTTCGCGATAATGTTTCCTTGACTTGATTTGGTGCAAATGATGCTGCCTGGGTGCCTGGTTGTGATGGGTTGAAAGACAAGCTCAATGTGCAATAGCTACGTGAGTCAGTTAGCATCGAGTCAGTCAGTCAGTCGGGAATTAAAGTATCTCCACTTACACATAGCAGTCCGCAACAATATAGTCTCTCAGAGTTGTGTCGGAGCCAGTATATGGTTCTATCATATTCAAAAGCTTCTTCGCGCCCTCGAGATGAGGCCGCCAACTTTGCCAGCCAGACTCAATGAGCTCTGAGTTGATGAGAAACAAAACAGTAGCAAGAATCACGTCGGCTCCAATGGCGTCAATATTCCGTAAAGCATCGGGCATCATTTGCAGTCCTTTCTGTTTGGCAACGAGAGCATCCATGAGCAATTTCTTTGGTGCCTCTTCTCTTTCATATGAGTTAGGGCCTAGCCATGATCTTGATAAATTGCACATATGAGATGCAGATACTGCGATGATAATTTGTTGCAAAAATGAATGCTCATTTGTGAGTTGCAGAAGATTTAGATATGGATTTCTGTTACCGTTGGTTTGGTCATCACCAACGAGATCCAGGCTAACTCGAGTTGAATCTGAGTTGAGGGTTAGCATCATGAAAGACCAATGTCTTGAAAGGTCATACAATAATTCAAGTACCATCTCTGGGAATGCGTCATGTCCTGAAATAATGGATCGACCAATGTCCACGGAGAGTTTGATGATGTTGGTGAAGGGGGCGAGGGAGGGGACCAGGGCTTAGTTTTGTTCGGGACAAAGAGTTGATTTTCTTGAAGCGGCACCAAACCCCATGCACCTGGCTCAAAGCCTTGAGTATCGAAGGATCCCATTTGCATATCAGAAGATTGAACATCGGATGGCACATCAATAGTCATGTCCGATTCACCTTGTTTGGGTAACCGACACACGGAGGCACTAGAGCTCTGACCGGCCAATTTACCGCGCGTGGCTACTGAGCCAGTCCATAGAAATAGGCGGCCGTAGCCCAGGCATTCAACCCCCCTGGAAGCGCATTTCGAGCAGTGCGGGATAGACCTATCGCAGCGAAGTCTCGCACGGCGACAGCTGTGACAGGCTTTCTTGGCTACTTGGACAGTGGTTGATGAGATACTGTCGTTGTCGGGGGGCGAAGTTGACATCGGATAAGATAAGCAAGTGAGATGAGAGAGATTGAGGCCTCAAAATGTAGCCTTGCCTCGTTTGCTTATTAAGGTAACCAGAAGCAAAACAAGGGGCGATTAGCGAGAAAAATAGATGAGTGAGACAAAGACAATGGCACGTCGTGGGTAGGGTCTCGTTGTTGGTAGAAATGGATATAATTTTGTTGATCCTGGGATCCTGGCACCTGGTTTGTAAGATGTTTGGTTGATTTTTGTTAATTCCGAAGCCCAGGCTGGGGAATGTCAAAGAATCGAGGTTCACGGGTTGATGCCTCAAGATTCAGGCCGTCATCTCGGCTTAAGCGGAGCAATGCCAGGCATAGCCACGGGGGAGGGTCTGGGCCAGTCTATGCCTGGATCAGCTAGAGCTGCGTGCCTGTGCGTGCCTCCGCATGCTATCGTCGTCAGCTGAGAGAGGCTTTGATTTAAACACCTGCCAAAAGAGATAAATTCACTTGCTTCAAGAGTTCGACACGAGATAAAGGGAACTATCGAAAGTCTAACGATCCCTAGCCTAGCTATCATATCTCAAGCCTATCTACCTTACCTAGAGCTACCTATCAGTTTCCAACTATTTGAAATACACGAGATATGCAGATGCGTGATATCACATTGCAGCACTTGAAAATGAGTTGTAAATTCGTTGTTTGAGGCCCTCATCACCAGACTTTTTTCGTCTCATCTTCCCAGCATGTGATCCTCAATCATGAGTTATGATTATGAGATAAAATAGTCTTGGTGAAACATGAATGTTTTTGTCTTTGGGCTAGGCCTGACCATGCAAAGACCAACAACAATCGACGCGCCAGTGATTGGCCCAAGTGGTACGCCATGCTATGTTTAATGTTGCTCGGAGCCGACGTCTGCTCAACGTCGTTCACTACCTCACCCCTAACCTTAAAACCGATTTAAAAATGACGAACTTACAGAAAAACTCCAATGTGAGGTTGCTTGCATGTCTCCTCGATGGGGACGACATTATGGAGAGCGATTATCGTTTTCTCGTCGATGGAACCCTCGCAAAATATGTTGAAACGGCGCCGGGCACATTTCTCTGCGATCAAGAAGACCGCGCTTTCGAGCCTATTCTCCTTGGGAATCTCTTCCCACAATTTCCTCCTGGAGACTGGAATAACGGCTACGTCGCTCGAGACCCCGTCTTAGGGGAACCTTCATTTGTCAAGACCGAGATCGTACAGTTTCCCGGAGTACAGAACTGTTGGCATCCACTGAGGTTTAACGAGCTCGACTTATCTCATCAACAGCGATTAAGACAGGGAGTTCGCGTTTCGACGCACCCTGATGTCAACGCCGGTAGACCTGTGCTGGTAAAATTTGCTGTTTGGCCCTGGGAGGTTCGTTATGCCGAGACTGAGACCACAGCTTATCTATGGGATAATTACGGCCTATAAGGTTAAGCTTTAGGCTGTAAATATA